CCGAATTAGCCCGTCGGTCGCGCATGATGCTATGAGGGTTCCGTCCCAGACGACGTCAATCCCGCCGACAGGGTCGGAATGTGCGGGAAGGGAGCGCATGACAGTAGCGGAGCGCACGTCCCAGAGGAATACCGCTTCGTCGTAAGAGCCGCTGACCAGCATGTTACCCTTTGGCGAGAAGGCAATCTGGTAGACGTAATTATGGTGGCCGACGAAGGGGATCGAATGCGCTTTGCCCTATATGGCAGGTAACACTTAGTGGAGAATAGCTGTCAGACGAAGGGAGGAGGCATACCGTCAGCACATTCCAGAGACGGATCGTCTTGTCATCCGACCCAGAAGCAATGATAGCCCCGTCCGGGCTCCAGGAGATTGTCGAGATTCCGGCCAAATGGCCCTCAAACGTATGCACCAGCTTTCCGGTCAACGTATCCCACACCTTGACAGCCCCGTCGGCACCTAGAAGCGATCAGCAACTGACCCGGAAACATACAATTGCAATTTCATAACCCACCGCCACTGGCAATCATAGATGAATCAGGCGAGAACCGCACTGCAGAAACCCCTCGTAAGTGACCTCGTAACAGAAACTTTTGCTGGTAATTAATCTTGTCCGGTTTTGGCGGCGGCGGCGGAGGGGGTGGAGGGACAGGCGTGGGCGACCGATCTGAATATGCTTGCTCAGGCTCTGCATCCCCATCCACAGGAGATTCATTGTCGTCCACGTCGACGTCTACTTCCTCGTCTTGGTAGTGTTCGGATGACGGCCCCGCGGCGCTCACTTCGGAGGGCGACGAACTGCGGCCCCGGTTGCGGGAGCGCCAATACACGTCAGCGTCTACTGCCAGCTCATCTGGGCTTTCAGAGCCGCTGAAACTGCGCAGGCGTGTATTTGGACGTTTTGGGGGCAATGCTTTCTGTAAGGTCCAACTTGCGCGACGCCGTTCGGCCTCGTCGTGATCGGAGCCCGCGGCGAGTTCGTCCGATGAAGACTCCATGGGCGACTGAATGTAGCCATTTTCATGGCTTGGGGACCGATCTAGTCGACGGCGCTTGGAGCGGTGATTATTCCCGTCCATCTGATCAAGAATTCAGAAGGAAACAAGGGGGCGCGAGAGATTGAAGGAGAAACAAGGGCGCAGGAGGAACAATCGGCCTGAATGAATCTATCGCGAAGATCCAGAAGAATAATAATCCCCAGCCAATTAGAGACAGTGGTTACAGGGCGGTGAGTATCCCTGATTGCGCTTGTCGGCGTCATTCAGCAAAAGTTATTCGATGTTCAAGCTAATGAAACCACTTCGATTATATCGCTCAGGCACCAAATATGACCTATCTTGACTTGTCTAAACTACTTAATTTTTAATAATTCATATATATCATTTCTTCTTAATACCGCGCGACCACCATGTCAGCTCAATCCACCGTCTACCCCTCCGAAGCTCCCTCCCAGATCCGCATCTTCACCCTGAACTGCTGGGGCCTCAAATACATCGCCAAATACCGCCACGAGCGTCTCTCAGAGATCGGTCGCCAGCTGTCCCTGGCTGACCCTGCACCCGAAATTGTCGGACTCCAAGAATGCTGGACACAACGAGACTACGAGAGCATCCGTGAGCAGACCCGTCACCTCCTCCCCTATGGCAAGTTCTACTTCGGCGGCGTGATGGGCGCCGGGCTCGCCATTCTCTCGAAATGGCCCATTGAAGAGAGCTCCATGTACGGGTATCCGCTAAATGGACGTCCAACGGCTTTCTTCCGCGGCGACTGGTACGTCGGGAAGGGTGTCGCCTGTGCCCGTGTACGCTTCGGCCCCGGAGCCAGCGACGTTGCCGAAGTGTTCTGCACGCATCTCCACGCCCCCTACGAAAAGGAACCTAATGATTCGTACATCTGTCATCGTACTGCGCAAGCCTGGGAAATCGCGAAGTTGATGCGCGGCGCCGCTGAAAGAGGCCACCTTGCCATTGGACTGGGCGACTTTAATATGGTGCCGTCGTCGTTCGCTCACAAGCTCATCCGCGCCCATAGCCCTGTCCAGGATGTATGGCAGGCTATATACCCAGACTCATCTGTGGCTGCCCCCCTCGACCCCGTCGAACAGAAACGAGGCAAACCAACCCCGTCAGCCGAATTCAACCTCCACGTGAACGGCGCCACATGCGACGGCAAATTCAACACCTGGCGGTGGACCAAAGAGGACCGCAAACTACTAGAGAAGGGGGAGGATGTCGTCGTCGACAAGGATGCTCCCTGTCCGAGGGGGAAACGGCTGGATTATATTTTCGTCGGAGACGGCGGATATCCGCCCGCCTTCCCTGCGCCCCAATGGTCTGTTGAGTCCGTCAATATTGGTATGACACAGCGTCATCCCACGCTCCGTTGTTCGCTGAGCGATCATTTCGCCGTCGAAGCCACCATCACCCGTTCTCCTCGTTCCTCTGAAGCGGACCACTCGACAGACAATAAACTTCCCCAGTCCGTGGTCCCGAATACAGCCCTATCGCCAGACACCTACGACCGTATCATCGACATGATTCACACCTATGTTCAACGTGAACGGTCTCAGCGTCGTTGGCGACTGGCTCACTTCATTATTTCGGTGTTTGTGTCCATCGGCTGCTTTGTCGGCGTTTGGTGGACGGGAGACCTGTCATATGTGGCGTTTATCTTGGTTTTAGTCAGTACCCTGAGCTTCGGAGCTGGGATTTTGGATGGATTGATAGGCGGTCTGTTCATGTCAAGCGAGCTGCGCGCACTTAAAGAATTCGAATGGGAGGTGCGGAATGCAAAAGAATTGGTTGAGAAAAGTGGTGGATCTGGGAAGAAGTCGGAATGAATATGACTGCCATGGGGTGACGATGAGCCGCGGTCCATGTCTTGCATCTTTGTTTGTATGTATTACACTGTCTTTCTTGTTACACATAATTACTTTACTATGTCCCGCCGTTACATACTGGACAGGGCCATTTACATATGCATTTGGAATACGAGTTAACGAGTTCATTCAAGTCTCAGAGCTATCACATAATCATCATTCCCCTGTCATCAAAAAACCGTAAGACAATTCGGGCTATGCACTCAACCCTTCCAGGGAGTGAGCCATTTACTCAGCGCACTCGCGCTGACGCTCGTCGAACACCTTCAAGGCCTCTTCGGCAGCCTTGACACCACTGAGAACCATGGCACCGAAGGTGGGGCCCATGCGGTTAAAGCCGTCGATTTCAGACAGCTCCATACCACCGATGATCAAGCCCTTAGTAACCTCGCGGGTGTTCTTGACGATGGCATCCTCGGCCGAGTTCATGTCGAGACCACGCATGCCACCCAGCTTGTCGACGCTGCCCATAGACACCAATCGCTTCGCACAGAAGGCGCCGAATGGGCCATCGTGGCCAGTGGTACTAATGATGACAGGAGCGTTGATAGTGTTGGGGTCCATGCAGGAGTGATCATCGTGGTGAAGGGTGACCAGCGTCCAGTTGACGACAACACCAGCAATCTGGGGGTTGCCATTCTCGGTCGGACGGGTGATCAAGTCCTCAACGGCGGTAGCATTGAAGAGCTTGACATTGGGGAAGGAGAGAACCTTCGACATGAGAGTCGAGGTGAACAGGGAGGCGTGCTTGACGACAACGTAGTTGGGGTTTGCGTCCTCTTCGTAAGGAACACCCAGCTCGTTCAAGAAGACTTCCGCGGGACGGCGCATAACCATAGCAGAAAAGAGTTGGCCACCCAACCAAGCACCGCCACCTATTGCAAGTTAGTTCTGCAAAGCTAAGCGCAAGGTCATCCATCATGGACTACTGACCAGGAGAGACGCTGGCCTCGACGATAGCAATCTTCAGGTCCGGACGAGCCTTGGCCAGGACGTACGCAGTGCTCAGACCGCAGGAACCAGCACCAACAATGACAACGTCACTCTCAGCGTACTTGTCCAGGTCCTCGAAGTAACGTCTGGTCATGGCACGAGAGACCTGGCTTTCGCGGATAGGGGCGAACGTGAACTCGTCCCACTTGCCACCGAACTGGTCGAGCAGCTTGGTCTGAGAAGCTCCTTCAATGGGGGCAGTCTCAGGAACCACGACCTTACCCTTGAGGCCGGTAGGGGCCACAGTGGGTTCGTAGATGGCAGCTGGGGGAGACATGTTTCAAGTTACGACTATAATCTGTTAGCCATTCCATCAACTGGAGGAACGAGGAAAGGCATGATCCTTTTCGCTGGTATTATCCAGATCAAGTTTTAGCCGTATAATCTCAGAACGAACCCAGTCCATCGATGTCATATCCTTCTATGACTAGAATCCTAGAATCTAGGGTCCAGCTTAGGGAGGATATGTGAGTACATCGATGAATGGGAACGAACACCGGCCCACGCCAAAGACGTTACCTAAGATACCTTGATCATTGTGAGAGCCCAGCCAAAAGTATTCCATGACTTCCATCGTATGCCCTATAGAGGGCTAACCGAGGAGTGTATTTACATTGTCGGTTGGTTTGGGAACTATAGAAGATGGTCAGCTATTCCAATCACCAATGGGTTTATCTAAGGGAGGAAGACTTGTTCAGGTTTGTCCTAGGACTTTTGCAGATGAAATCTGAGATAGAAAATTGTGTGGGATGAGAAAGAAGGAAAAAAAAAGAGAAGAAGATGGCGGGGTTGAGAAGGAGGGGTCAAGTTAAATAGCATGGGTTGAGTCAACGTGATAAGGGCACTATACCGTATAGATCCGCGCACCCGATTCTATCCGTTCCTTTTGCTCCTCTTTAGCTTTGGCCGGTGAGCCGGTCAAGAAACAAAGTGAAATCATCCTGACATCGGCGGACGATCCCTAGCTTTTACATTTCGTTACCAATGGGATCCAGTAATCAATTGCCCATCTGTCATATCGAGGACTGGCCGCGAAGTGATCCACTATATAACATACTATGTTAATAAATTAACATTTATCCAAAAACAGGAAATCTCCGCGACTGAAACCTTTTCAATAATGAAACCCTTAGCAAATCGTTACCCCCACTCGCACTCCATAATCTTTTATCCAGTTCTTTTTCTTTCCAACTTTCTCCGCCCTTTCCCGCAAGCTGTCAAGCGAGAACGCGGCGACAGCAACATCGTTGTTGCATTTCACTTTGAGACGCAGCATATCGCAGTCATCTTTCTTCTTCACAATGGATTCCCATTCAGTCTCCAGTTGGATTCTCCAATGCATGTCTGACACGCGGCCGGATGGATGCACGTCTCCAATTAGGGTCGCTACCCGACCCAAGTACTGGCACCACCATGCCTCTTGCTTGGAAACACACCGGCTCAATTGCCGGTGAAATACTTCATCCGTGGGTGCAAGGTCCCCCGCCCAGCGCTCACAGAGTATCAAGGCAATCAGGGCACGTTCGACATGTGATAGTGTATTCACCGAAGCTAGGATCCCCGTCGTAGTACTATGCAATGCAACAGCCGAACGCGATTCGCGCGGCACTCGGGAATGGGCAAAGAGCAGGTTTGCGAGCGCACCAAGTAATTGAGGGGAGAATGAAACTGGTGCATGGCGAGAATCTATAGGTGAAGGTGTCGAAGGCAATGCAGCAGTCAGTAGTCCTCTAATTGCTGCATTGGATGGAGGCGCATATAGCAAGCTTGCCGCCAAAAGCGGATCTTGTGCGCGAATCTCTTGGGGCATCAGGTCGAAGAGGAAACCCTCTCGGACACCTCCCTGGCAGAACTGAATATGCGTGATATCCGGCAAGGCATCCATTATCACATTGACCAGGACAGCCACCGCAGGGATCTGTGAAGCCCGTCGCTTCGAGACACCAAATATCTTCTCATCAGAGTCAGAGACCGAATCCAGCACAGAAACAGTATCATGGAAGTCCCCTCTGCTCACTCGAAACCCATTAATGATAGGAATCGGGTAAGGATCAACCTTATGCTGCTTCATGAGCACGTAGCCCCAACCCCTGAACCCACCTCCACAGAGGTATAAATCAAACCTTCCCAGCGACTTCGCCGTCTCCAACAGAAACTCAGGAACCTCAAGAGCCCGATACGCCTCCTGGAAGTTCTTAATCATTTCCTGCTTCAGCGCCTTCTCCGCTTTCTTCCCTTCAGCCTTCGCCTGCTCCAACCGCTTCGTCAACGCCGCCGCCCCATAAGGGAAACTGAACGATCCCCGCGGGCTGGTAGTAACCACACCATCCTTCTCAACAACCCACGTAATCTGCGTACTGCCACCACCAAGATCCATAGCCAACCCAGCTACAGAGGAAGTACTGCTGGCGATCCCCAGCGCCCCAATCCTCCCCTCATCCTCTTTAGACAGCAGGCGCACCTCCCACCCCGTCCGGTCCTTGATCCGAGCACGAAACTCCGCAGAATTCGGCGCTGTCCGCGTCGCCTCCGTAGCAAGCACATAGATATTCTGCGCAGGAACTCCAAAATCATCACACGTAATCTGAAACCGAACTAATCGGTCCACAACCTGCTCTATAATGTTCTGCGGGATCGGACCCCGCGAGCCACCGGAGAACTGAGCATCGTATAGAGAAATGCCAGCTCGGTCTTGGTAAACTGTGGGCATTGTCCGGGCTGTATGGGGTGGAATGTCTGTGATGGAGAAGCGGATTCCATTACTAGGTGATGTTAATCTGTGAACTTGATATATAGGGAATCGTGGTATACCTTCCCATATCCACGATCCCATAAAGATAGGCATTGCTTTCTGATACATAGGCCATGTTTGCTGTATGTACAGTACCGTCTACTTCGGCAGTTAGTTGTGGGGTTCCCGGTAACCTGGGGGTATGTACATACATGGTGGTTTGTTACTTGGTACTATGTACCGGTGATTCTAAGCTATTCAAAAATGTCTCAGGGTCGCAAATACTGTGTCTAAGGTTGACTAGTTTGTGGAAAGAATTAGTCAATTACCCAGAAGATCTAGAGGGGAAGATAGGTGTTAGCCTGAGTTACTGGCTATTTTGCGAAGTGGAACTAATTATTGCCCCTCCACTTACATATTTAACCACTTTAGGACCGGGGAGACATACATATCTCTGACTAAGCGATGATCATGGCGCGCAATTTTTATTCAACATTTAGAAAAAAGTAAAAAGCAAAGGAAAAAACATTTTTTATTCGTGAATATTATTTTGGATAATTATTATGGTATACATTATCCAAATCTCACATTCATCGTCATATCATAGCATTCGTTTCAAGCATCATTACTTTCGTGTCTACATAACTATAGCACGTACCGGAATCCAGCACCATAATTTTCTTCTGCGACGTTTTCCCCTTTATTCCATCCCCGCGCTTCCCTCTCGGCCTGTGTGCCATACTGCTTGTCTAAGCGGCGGTTCTCCCATACCAAAAGGGTTCGTAGAGTGAGCGCCAGTATCATGGTGAAGAACATGAAGGCTGCACAAATGGATTGTCCGCGGATGTAGCGCGGTCCATCGCTTTCTGGGAAGACGTTTGTTCCCAGAAAAGGCCCGCATTGGCCGATGATATTGAGGATGACAATACCCATTCCACGTCGTGAATCCGAGCCTTGGTTATCTGGTGTGTTCGTTAGCCTCTCGATATGGTAGGTTAGGTAACATAGACTGGGAGGGAACATACTAAGAGCCCACGGGAGAATATTTGCGATACAAGGGAAAACACCGATAGCAGCGAGGAACACGCCTGCGTAACGAGCGCCAACTGACGTGCAGACGGCAAGGAGAACGTAGCCAACCGCTCCGATTAGAGACAGGATCGCAAGCATCAAGCCACGTTGTTGCAATCGATCAGCAATCCAGGTGGTGGCAATTGTGACCAGGAAAGAAGCAAAGTAGGGCGGAGCCGTAAGCCCTTGGGCGTTGATCGAAGTGAACCCCATGTCCTTCAGGATCGTGGGAAGGAATACCGGAAGCGAAGAAAAGCTCACGTTGCAGCTGAAGTACATCAACTAAACCACACTGACAATCAGCTATCATGCTCCACCACCACAACTAAATTTTATGAACTCAGCATCAACATACCGCGGTCAGCCATGCCTTAGCATCCGTTAGCGTTTCGGCTAACTCTTTCCAATTTATTTTAGTCGACCGTTCGCGTTCGCCACTCTGCTGAAGACTTCTTGCTCGCGCAATCTCTTTTTCTTCTTCGGTCAAAAAGCGGGCTTTCGAAGGGCTATCGGGTAGAAATCGCCAGGCTAGGATAGCAGCCAGTAATGACGGGCTTCCCTCCACAAGAAATAGCAATCTCCAGTTTGCTAACTTGGAATGGCCCGAAGTAATGCCATACGCAAGAGCACCAGCGAATGTATTCGCCAGAGGGGCGGCTGACACAAATAGCCCACAACGGAAGCCGAGCTCATGACGGCGATAGAAAAAAGACAGTAGATAAGGAGTCCCGGGACCAAATGCAGCCTCTGACATGCCGAGAAGGAACCGCAAAGCCATGAGTCCCTCCCAGTTCTGGACCGCGGCTTGACATGTTGCCACAATACCCCTTTCGGTAGGTTAGAGCGGTTTGAGAGGCATGGTGGTTGAGGATATCTTTGACTTACCAGGACAAGACAGTAATGGCTGCCCATTGGTGGGGCGGCATGACCTTCCACATGAAGGCCCCAAACTCGAACACGACATATGAGATATAAAAGATCGTTAGGAGCCAGGAATAGCGATTTCCGGTGAGGTTCAGGTCATCCTCCATCCCGGCGATCTTCGCATTTCTTCGATCTTGGTCAGTTTGGTCTTTTCGCAGTCATGGAGGTATGCAAACGAACCCAATATTACTTCGATCAAGAAGAGAAAGCAGGTCTGTCGGTAAGTTGTTAGGCACGCCTTGAACATAAAAAACAGTGAAGAGTGCGGAAATGCGGAGACATACATAGGAATCCCATGAGAGTAGGAACTCTTAGATCCAGTTTTCTTAACATACGCGCTTCAACGGCAGGGTCAATGTTTACCACTGCCGGAGGAATCTGAGGAAGGGCCGTTTGCGCGTCATCGTGGTGGACCGGCTGCTGTTTCTCTGGATCGCTCATTATCGGAGCCTCCTTGATCTCATCACCAGAAGGGTCTTTCTTTCCAAAGAATCCCATAATTGATAGGGGGGGCACGAGGGCGAAAGAGGTTCGCGGTGAAGCACCAACAACAACTTAGGAAGCGAAAAGAACACGAAAGAGCGACGGGGATCTTTTATAGGTGTGGTCATGTCGGAGAATTTTGTTTAGCGAACAGGGCCATTATTGAGTCTATTGGAAGATCAGCAAAAGTTAACCGGAAATGGGACAAGTGCCAGCGTCCCACATGGGGAGGAGTGACGCCATGCAGGGGGAGAGAGCTGAACACTCGTACTCATCATAGTAATACTGGTTGACGGCAAGACAATTGGGTAGAAATGGTGGGGAAAGTCCATTGAATTTGGGTACTAAGCTTGCCCGCTTGTATCTGGACTTGAATATCGTGAGTCACGATTGGGAAACAGGACGATGCATCAAGCACGGGGAGGATGAATGAACTACCGGGTATAAGCCAATTGCGGAGAGAGCTACGACTACTACTAGTACTACGGAGTTGATCTTTCAAGTCCCGCGATCCGGTGGCGGGCTTAAGAGCTTCCAATTCGGGTTTGGTGCCAGCGATACCGCAGCAAAGCTTGCGCAAGGCTTGTTTGGGGGCGGGGGAAGGGTTACCATCCTCCGGAGTATCAAGTACTATTATAATAATCATATAGCCCACACCGAGTACATTTCAATGCTTAAGGTCTACCCGATTGTTACTAGCTAACCATTTTTTTTTTTTTGTCTTTTTCTTTTGGTTTTAACGGTCAGCTGTTTGGATTTATGGATTTATGGATTTATGGATTTATGGATTTATGGATTTATGGATTTATGGATTTATGGATTTATGGATTTATGGATTTATGGATTTATGGATTCATGGATTCAGTAACAATTGATCGTTTGAGGAGGCTGGCAATCCCATATGCAAGGTACCTGACATCGGTATCCAACTTCAAACACTTTGCAAGCACGGGGGTAGCTGCATGCACATACCGACTCCGACGTGAAGCAGATTATGTGTCAGAATTCAATCCTAGTACTACTATGGAACAGTCCAGAGGAAGAACTTTAGTCGTGAAGGGCGGTGTTCTCAGTTAGGGACGTCTAAAAGAAGGAAAGATTAAACTAGAGTGTAATGAAAAAGGAAAGGATTCTGACGCGGAACTCGAATATACTATCTAGAGCGATTTGGAGGCTGGCCTGCAAGTGTCCTTCCCCAGCTAGGGTTTGGTGAATAGTATTCAATAGTTACACCACTGACAGAGGTAATTCGGGGATGAAGAAGCCTTAAGCCAATGGTGTAACTTGGTACGGAATCCGACCTACTCATAGCGACGGAGGAATGGCCGAATATTTGTGCCAAAATACACCTGATATACTCCATAGGATTGTTAATGTCAAGAACTTCAGCCGTAGTCACGATCCAAAGATCCGTGCCCTCGGCGCTTCCCCACCTTACCAACTCAAGTTAGTATCCCCATAAGCTAAACCCACCTGTTACATGCCTCATATCTCAGGTGTCAAATCTGCGCTTCAGGTCGGTTTCACCTCCCGAACCATCCACCGTGACTTCCAGCTTCTCGGGGAAAGGAACCTCAAATTTCCGCGTCGCGTTCGCAAAGGCATTTGCTCGTTGCGTCCATTCATTTCACTATCTCTTTCCGACCGTTTGAAATTTCCGTCTCGGATGCATTCCCTGTTACTTATTATCTAGGGTTTTGGCTTCTTGCGAAAGCGTTAACATTTTTCTCACCGATTGCGACGGCGTCTTCTCACAATGGACGACCCAGCGACCCGTGTCCCCGGGCAGTTGGTAGGCCAATCTACTGATCCAAGTCTCAATGCAATGTTACAGGCCAAATGTCTAACCTGGATTTCGACTACCACAGCTGCCGCATATGCACCTGGTGTCGCGACACCGATTCCCGCTGATGCATATGATGCCCACCGACACCGTTGTTGAATACCTTCTTGGTGCGCCTAAGATTGTACGGGAGGCGCAACCGATGCATTGGACCTTCCTGGATGGACCTCAAGATGGGACGGTCATGCTCACCTGGCAGCCCCTGAATCATTTGGGAACGAACTTCGCCAGCGATGGCTACGTGTGGGCCGATGTCGAACAGGCGTTCACCTTCGAAGCCCGCGGTTACGTAGGTAGACCCGTACTCTAATGACCTGCTTCCCGGTGGCCAGGATAATGACTGACATGAGAGCGCATCAGTTGGTGGAGATGTGGCTGCACCGCAGTGGTTACCACCCGCCAAACGAGACAATGGCGATCCATTGTCGCAGACGCTACCGGTTGCTACCTTCGAAGAACCCCAACCCAAACATGCCCCCGCCCGACCCGTCGTTATGGATCGTTCACTACTCAAGAGCACCTCCTACCGAGCATATCCCGGCCAATAGAATTCATGTACTCCCTCAAGTCCAAAGCATGCTCGGCCAACGTCGTTTCTTGCAAAGCCAAGGCCAACTTGCCCGCAAAGACTTTATGCTGCACGACCGCAATAACTGGCCGACGATCAATTTCCCCCCACAGGTTGCCCCGCAGGGTTTTGCGCAAGTTCCACCAGCATATCCAAGTGCGATGGTTGGTCGCCAACCATTCTATCCCCAGCCTGGTTCAGGTGTGCCCGCTCCGGCAGGAGGAGCACCGGCCAAGGCGCCCCGTGGACACCGCGCTTCGTCGGCTGCAGTGAACGCCGCCACTGCCGACTTCGCTCTCGAGGATGAGGATGTTTCCGCAGGCGATATGATGGATCTTCTTACCCCACGGGAAGTGAGTAAGATGAGATATCAACAACACCATGAATGGATGGAAGAGATCTTTGCTTCACCGTACGCCATCAGCCAGATTACCCCCGTCTCTCTTGGGTTGGGTCGCAAAGGGGAGTTGGAATCGTTGACAGCGGGCTTCTTCGATGCGCCTTCCGGACCTACTAGTGGAGAATCTAAAGATGCGGCCGATTCTGCCCAGGCTACCAAGATGGAGCCGGCGAAGGCTGAAGAGTTTGCCGACCGTGTTGCGAAGAAGGTGGCGGACATGACTGCCGAGATTGAGAAGCTGAAGAAGCGGCATGCGCGCCGGATGGAGAAGTTTAACCGTACCTCATTGCTGAAAGACGCGGAACTCCGACTCCGGGAAGCGGCGGCAGATCCGAACGCCACAGGGACTGAAATTTGGAGACTGGAAGGCCGCATTGAGATCCCCACCGAAGGCGACGAGACTCAAACACCACCTGCTTCCGAGCCCAAGGCTAAGTACAGGGTGGACGAGGTGGTCAACGAGTTGGAAACCTCATGGAAAAAGCAGATTGTGCCTGAGCCCAAGGTTTCTTGCGTCCAAAAAGGTGGCCTGTTAGAAAAGATCGAACCTGAACAGAAGATCGAAGCTCCTGCAGATGGCGATATCGACATGGAGCACGCAGATAGCCATCTCCTCGATCAGTTTGGCTCGCCACCTCCCTCCGGCCCCGTTCAAGGTGTGCCCACCGCTCAAGAACTAGCAGCACCGGCAAACGTACCAGGTACCTCCGAGGTCCCTGGGGTCAATGCTGCTGCACCACTGCAGACAACAGCTGCTGTACCCCAGCAGAGTGTGACGATGCCCGGTATGGACGTTGAGATGGACATGGGCAATGTTCCACCCGCGAATACCGCCGCGGGTGAAACTGGAGATTGGGTGATGGTCAACGACGAGAAGAAGGACCAAGGCGACAAGCCTGTCGTTGGCGATGCTGCTCTCCATGGAATTGAAACGCCAGGCAGCGGAATACAGGGGTTGACGCCTGGGAACACAGGGGGGGACAATGGTCTGGACGGGGCCAACTTTGACTTTACTAATATGGATAGTGCGGGTGATGCACTGGCGGCCTATACGGAGCAGAACGAAGTGCTAGATCTTCCGGACCTGGAAAACTCGGCGTTCGGGGACGCATTCCACGCGTCCGATAATGAAAACACCCACCATCATGATGCAGATGACATGGCGTAAAGCATAGTGTGGGTCTCGTGTGATTTGGTTATGCAGGTATACTACTGTGGTGTTGTGGTTTACGATTTACTCGGCGCTGGCTATGTTTTGCTTAATATCCAACTGGATGAGGAAGATGTAAAAATAAGACTTGGAATTGCATCATCTATGATGGCCTCTTTAATTTCTCACTTTGCTCAGGGATAATCTAGACCAGGTGTACATTTTTGATCCTGATATATCACTAGATATCTAGCCACTATGCAATCCGGTATTTCCAGAACGCTTGTGGAGAAAACAGCCGAAGCGCAGTAAGCAAACGGTGAAACGCAGATCTAAAGTAGTAAACTAAAGGGTGCAGCGACCAATTTGATAAATGCAGGATATCACAGGGAATTGCAATCATTGAAAGTCAATGTTATCCCCAAAGGCACCGAACAGCTATTTCAAAGGCGTCAACAAAAGTCAAGATCCTTAAAGTCGTCGTATTCAAGCTGGCGCGGTCATGGAACTTGAGGGAAATGTTTCCTTGCTTCAAGAAATATCTGCCATTCCTATACACATTGTCCAGAGTTCCAGTTGCAAGACTGGTTGCCCATATTGGACCAGTACTTTTCGAATAAACTCTTTATCTTCTGGATTAAACGTTGAGATGAAAAGTATTAACATAAGCGATATATATAGTACACCAGTATTGAAGTTTCGTACTAATCTAACTATAATAGCAACCACATGAAGAATGGACCTAACGGTGCTCTTATGCCGGAATAATCATTGACTGTAGGATTATCGTATCCCTGGACGCTCCGGGCGCCTGGTAATAATGAAAGCGATTATCATCCCCTAGGGTACTCGTGGAGGATCGGATCATGGCCCTCGATTTAATCTCTAACCGAAGCGACTCGCCAGGTGAAAAGACGATGCCTTCTGATAACTTTAAGCTAATTCGTGGTCGAGGAGAGCCAGGAAAGTGGACTCTGAATGGTTTTCTTGGTCGGATACATCGTTGTCGAAAGCCTTTTTCAGCGCAACCAAAATGCCGGCGATAATTTCACGG